CACTCGAAAGCACGCTGCCGCGCCAGCGCGGCGCCCGGGCGCCGCCGCGACAGCTCGGAAATTCGGCCGACCCCGGCCGCCGTCTCCGAGTCAAAGCAGGCCTCTGCGACGCCGTAGCTGAACAAGGTCTCGTCGAAGGAATAGGCGACTGGTTTCCAGGGCCTGGCCCAGCTCGACTCCAGCATCACCGCGATGCCCAGGTCGCAGTTCAACTTATCCCTCGCGGTAGGCGCGGTGGCTTTGCGACGCGAAAGCGTACGCAGCATGAAATATTTGCAGCATGAAATATGCGCAGCACCTCGCGACGAACCAGGGCCATGAAAGTCACGTGGCCCAGCGCCGTCTCCAGCTGCTAACCTGCGACCCTGCGACGCCGCAGGAGACATCCGAAGCTCCTCCGAACCATGGCGAACCTCTCGTCAGCGGGTCGGGTAGCGAGCCGTCTAACGTCCACGAAACAATAAAGGGCGCGGCCCCCCTCGGGCGGCAACTCGACCTCGTGGAACTCCAGGTGGTCGCTTTCGAAGTCCGCCTCCAGCGGCGCCGCCTGAGCGCGCGGAACGCGCAGGCCGATGGCGCCTGCGCTGCCCGCGCGCATGCAATGGCCGAGGCGGCCCCCGCGTCGGCCCTGCCCATCGCCAAGGGAGGCCCGCGGCCGCTCAGCTGCAGGCTGCGACTCAGCGACGGCCGGCGGTCCAGACGGGCCTGCTTGGCCGCCCGGGCGAAGAACAGCGACCGCGAGAAGCCCGTAGGGGAGCTCTGGCTCATGGGCCACGCGAGCTCGCCCTCTGTCACGGGGCGGCCCTCCACGAGCGCCCCCCAGCCAAGGATGCAGCTAAAAGCGGCCAGCGACAAATGGCGCCTGATCTCGCCCTCCAGCTTCATCCCGTCGCCCGCGCCTTGCGCGGCGCAGAGCAGCCCTCCAGAACTGACATCTCGACGCGGCCGAGCCCCCCGCCCGACAACAGATCCACGCCAGGGGGGGGGGCCGAACCAGGCATTGCTCCGTCTGCAATCCACGGCGCGGCGAATTCTTAAGGCGAGCACCATCCTTCTTCTTCCCAAAGATACGCCAAGCACACTCTACAGTCGACGGGCCAGACTGACCAGGCCGATCGAAAGCGGGCGCCGCGCGAACTTCCCATGGCTCCGCGGGCGTTGAAGCAGCAGAGGGTCGGCGCGACAGCCGGAGGGCCCGTCAAGTTCTCGCGCGCGCGCCGCCCCCTGAGGTCATCCCGGCGGCAAGCCCCTCGAGGTAGAGCCTCGCCTGCGCGGGTGGCGTCGCGGCCGGCCAGGGGCATCGACGACGCTCTCTGGCAAGCTGACCCGCGAGCACTCGCGGGGGGCCATGCTGGTTGAGCCAAGAGAGCGTAGCCCGCGTTGCCCTTGGGAAGCCTGGCGAGGGCCTCCTCCTCCGAGACGGCGCTGTCGACGTCGATCCAGCGGCGGGCCGCCGAAAAAAAAACGCGCTGCGCGCATCCGCTGCAATAGCCCCCATCCTCAGCTGACTGGCGTGGTTCTGATGCGAACGGCCAGCTCGATGGACGTCCCCGTGCAAGTAATTTAAACTCTCGCAGGCTGCATTGCGAACGCGAAGCCACTTGCGGCGCTGGCCTGCAGCGAGGCCCTCCAACCACTCGGCAGGCTGCTCGGCAAGCGGGGCCACAGGCAGGAAGGGCCATCCCTGCAGCCCCCGTTTGCCCTCGGATCTGCGGTGAGCGGTCGGGCGCGCGCCCCCCTCGGCCAGGCGCGCCACGTGGCCGGCGGGCGATGCCCGCGGCCCCGCCCGCCTCGCCCGCGCCCGCGGCCGCGGCCTCCGTCTCCAGCATCGCCGCCCCCATCGCCACCCGGGGAGCCCCCGGCCGTCGGCAGCCCGCCAGCGCCCGCGGCAGCGGCCGCAGCCCGCGCGCCCTCGCCAGGCGTCGCGCCCGGCGCCTTGGCGCGAGACCGCAGCGCCTCCAGCTCGTGCTCCTCTTTGCTCAGGCGGGTTTGAAGTCCCGGCCAGGTGCTTCGCCGCGCCCCAGTTGGCCCGTTCGGCCCCATGCGCGTCGGCCTCCGCGTGCTGCAGGAGCCTCCTCGCGATCACCTCCAGCGACGCGAGCGCCTCCATGTTCACCTGGTCGCGGGTGCCCGCCAAGTAGAAAATGCACGATGGGCGTCTGTGCCTCATGGCAGGCGCGATCACGGCGAGAAATCTGGTCTCCATGCGCCACTCCTGGAACCAAATCTTCGGCGCACCCCCGCGGCGGCACATCTTGCGACGCACCTCCTGGCAAGCGGGCGGCCCGCGGAGGCTCGAGTCGGCGAACGCCTCCTGCGTGCTCTCCTGGACTACCTTGCGCCACTCCTTGAATCTCGAGCCCGTCTCGTCCACTTCGATCCAACGCGCCCCTGAGTCCTCCTGCGTCTCGCAGCCGGCTGCGGCGGGCCCCGCCGCGCCCAGCGCCGCGGGCAAAGCGGCGCGCGCGCCCGCCACTTCGCCGTCGGGGAAGAGACGGTCGCCCAGGCGGGCGCGAGGCGGCCTGAGGCGATCCGCTGCGATGATCTTTCTCGCCAGCCCTCAGCCGCATCCGTCGTCGCGTACTCTATGGGGGCCCACTCACCATCAACCTTGTCGAGCCCGTGTCGGCCGCGCAGGACCGCCGCCGCCGAGAGCTCGATCTGGCGGCCGAAGTCCTCGCCGCCCTCCAGCGCGGCCAGCACCCAGCAGCTTGGAGGTCGCTCGCCGGGCGGCGGAGGCGGCGGGGGCACGCCATCGGCCGGGGGTAACGCGGGCTCTGCGCCCGCAGCACCCCCCGTCTGGGCCGCACTGCGCTTCCGCGCGCCCGCCGACGAACGCGAGGGACCTCCACCGCCGCAGCAGCTGGCACCGCTGACCCCGGGGGGATACCGCCGCCGCCCAGCCCACCTCACTATCGAGCTGTAGTCTGCCTGTCGTCTGAGCAGAGGTCGTTCCCAGCAGTGTACACCATCCACGACGACAGATCGGCCGAGCTTGGCCACGGCAGCCTCTCGTGCGTCCAGCGCGCCAGCACGCGTAGGCCCGGCGCGGCATCGTCCAGCGCCATCACGCCACGTGGATGCGCGCCTCGCCGATCGGGTCGAGCCCACGCCTGGCAGAGCTCCGCCGCGAGGCTAGCTCCCAGCCAGCACCACAGGCCACCGCCGCCGCTAGCGCCGCGCTGGTGGCGACCAACGCCAGGGGCAACTCCACCGTGGCAGCGAGCCCGCCTCCAGCCACGCGCAGTGGCTGCGGGGCGCACTCCTCTGGCGCCAACGGCGCCGAGCAATGGCATAAAGGCGCCAGGCGTCAGCGTCGCAGACGTCGAGCTGTTCTCCAGCTCGTGTCCAGGGCCGTCACGCGGCCAGGCAGCGCCCTCAGGAGCCAGCGCGGGCCCGAACACGACGTGGGCCGAGAAGCCCGCCCAGAAGGTCACCAGGGCCCCGAGTGCGCTGGCCGGGTACTGCGGCTGCATGCCCGCTGAATGCTTGAGCCCCAGCAGCGTCGGGAGTAAAGCTGCTTTGGGGCGGCATCAATGCAAAGAAACCGAAGCAAATTCGTGCAACGCACATTCAAGTCGAAACAAAGATCCTGTGGGCGCCCCCTCTCACGCGTCACCACAGAAACTCTGTTTCCTCGTTTGTTGGACGCGTGAATTCGGCGCATCCGCGTGGCCATCCTGTCGCCCCCTATACAGCTTACGCCATTGAGAGAACGGCCGCGGAAGCATTCGACGCGATAACTTCCTGTGCCCTCTTGGAGATATTCGCCTGCCACCGCCCCTCCCCCATATATCACTAAACAGAGGAACCCCGTCCCCCGTGGAGAAGGAGTGGCGAGGGGGAAAAAGGGGGCCACATTCTCGAAACGCTCCCGTCGGGAATTTTACGCAGCCCGCGCGTTCTAGAATTTGACCTCGGCTGGTCGCGGTCGGCCTTCTAGATTTTGGCAATCTAGAACGTTACGATGGCGTTCATCGTTGTCGTCGGTCGTCATCGTCGATCGGTCGGTCCGTCTTCGTTGTCTTCGTCGTCGTCGCTCGTCGCTGTTAGTCGGTCGGTCTGCCGTCGTCGTCCTTCGGTCGTCGCTTTTGTCGTCGTCTTCGTCGTACGGTCGTCGTTGGTCGGGCGGTCGGTCGGTCGGTGGTCGTTGCCGTCGTCGTTGTCTGTCGGTCGTCGCCGTCGGTCGACGTCGTCGTCGTCGATAGCTCGTTCGGCCAGTCGGTCATTAGACATTAGACTGACACACCACGCCCAAATTCTCATTATCAAATTAGCCCTCTGACTGTAGGCACCCGAATTATCCGGATTATACCTGGTCCAAGTAACGCACTGTTTGGTGTCCCCACATGTGATACAGGAAAATCTTCGAACCGCTTGGTACGAATAACGCCTGTTTCGGAAGAGTGCTGGACAAGATCTACACGGGACAGAATATGATCCAGGAGAGCTCCAGCTGAGCGCAACCCGGGGCAACTCCAGCGTGAAAAACGGTAGGCCCGAATCAGGACCCTGGCCACCCCCTGCCTCAATAACTCGGGACTCTGACTCCCTCCTCAGGGTGAGCTAAGTCCATACGGAATAAATCCATACGGAGACCGACCACTCCGTATGGACCTACTCCATATGGTCTCCGCCTCCTATCAGGACAGGCTAAGTCCAGGCGGAGTAACCTCCGTATGGGCTCCGCCTCCGATCAGGAGGGGCTAAATCCAGACGGGGTAAGTCCGTGCAGAGAACGAGCACTCTGTATGGCCTCACTCTCTATGGACTTAGCCTCCGCCGACCTGCTCCCGCATTCATTCCTCACGCCCTCCGCGCACTTCGGGCAGTCGCAGGCCGCCGCGGGCCGCGGCCCCCGCCCCCTCCGCGGGGCCGGACGGTCCGGGGCCCCAGCCTCCCACGGCGGGATCATCCGACCGCCTCTGCTCGAAACCCATCTGGGAGGTCTACACTTTTCCTTCCATCATGCATCCGCGTCCCCCCGCCCCCCGAAACGCGCCGTCGGCGATGAGGGACTTGGGGGTCGGCCGGCCCTCGGACCTGCCGAAGCCGCTGTAGTTGAAGAGGAAGACGCTGCAGCCTCGTATGACAGCCGTACATGTATCAGACAGGCGGGTCCGAACGGCCTTACACCATCCCTGGGTGCGTGGGTGAAGTGGGGTTCGGTGGTCTGGATTTGCCTTGTCTGTTGCTGTTTTTTGTTGTCGTCGTCCCACCCGCGATCCCCCCGCGACCCACCCGCGACCCACCCCACGACCCAACCCACGACCCACCCGCGACCCACCCCCGACACACCCGCGACCCACCCCGCGCCCCCCTCTCACTATTGTCCACAATCGCGAAGTGCTACGTGCACGTAGGTATGCGGGACTCCGTCCGGTACTCCGTCTCACGTTCGCGAACATACCATACATGATATCCACTAGACTGTGCACGGTGGCGGTTGCGTGTCACCGCAGAAGTCAGCTACACGCAAGAGTGGCACCAGTCAAGCTAATGCACGTTGTGAGGAATGCCACGTTAGGGTCGAGACCCTTGTTGGTCCCACAGAGCGTCTGGGTGCACGGAGAGCGCCACAATAATTACCGTGGAGGGACCTGAGGAGCCGCGAGCCCTTTTCCGAACCCGAGATGCTCTTTACCTCAGCGTCTTGACACAAGACACGAGCGACCTCTTGGTGCGCAGCTCGCGGCTCGCTGCCCGCGATGATACAGCAGCGGCCTGCGTACCTGGGCTTGGCCACACCCCGCACCCAATCGGAGCCGCGCACACGAGGTCACTTCGGCGAAGAGTCACTCCAACGCGCAACTGACAATAGAAGAAGACACGACAGGATAAGCATACAGTTTCGAGGTCCGCGCGGATGTCTTGGATCTGCGCTGGACACCCCTCCCTGGCGCGCGGAGCGCGCCACGGGCAGCGCCGGAGGCGCCGCCAGGGGGCACTCAACCGAAATCCAAGTGATCCGCGCGGAACTCCGAAAGTTGACGTTTGTGCAGATTTCTCTTCTTCGAGAGGGGGTCCTGGAGAGAACGGGGTCCTCCTCCGGGGGACCAAACAGGAAGTGCAGATGCCACCAGCAACAATGAAGATCGCGCGTGGGCCTCGGTCAATGGAGATGATGGCCAGCAGCCCCGGTGGGATGTGCAGGCCTCCCTGAGAGTCACAGCGCAGCCCTGGAGCGGCACAGTGGGGGCGCGCGTCGAGAAAACAGTCTGCCAGGGATGCTCCAGGTTCCTGTTGTGCCCAAAGCCAACATGAAGGAAAAGGGTCACGGATGCTGTTCGTCGTTTTCGGGCCATGTGGCCCTCCACGGGCATCCGGATCGTCAAACAGCGACCGTCCCCACGGTATTGGCTCACGGGGCCCTTCGTGAAGGGCCGAGGCTTCCTCTAGAGAGCACACGCTGGGTACACGTGAGGAAACCGGGCGTGCCTAGCCAGACGGGGCCCGAACGCCGGAAAGACGTCTGGCCACACGTGTATCGAGCTCTCGCCCATGCTGGCCGCGTCGTGTGTATCCAACTTTCTGGTACATCGATGCCTGGCTACATCCCTCGCGTGCCGACTGGAGAAGAGTCGTGGCGCCTATGTGCAGCGACAACTTTGCCCCAAACAAGCTCCAGCCCTCTGCTCTCGAACGCCATGCGCAAGGGAGCAGCAGCCGCACAACCGTGCACTTTCGGAGGTCCTCGCGGATGTCACGGGCCAGCGCTGGACTCCCCTCCATGGCGCGCGGAGCGCGCGAGGGGCGGCGCGAGGCAGGCGATACGAAGGAGACGGGCAACCCAAGTACGAGCGGCGTGCGAGACGGCCTCTCCAAATAGGCAGCGTGCCACAAAAGGATGCAGTTCGAGCCACGCGGGCGCCGCCACTGGGGACTTCGGTGGAGCTCCCTACGGGGCCACAGTACGCGTAGGGGTGCTCCGAAATGGGAGCGGGGCCGCCATGCGAGCCCTGCCACTGGGGCCTTCGGTGGAGCTCCCTATGGGGCCACGAAGCGTCGGGGGGGCGCGCCGAAATTGGAGCGGGCCCGCCATGCAGACCCTGCCACTGGGGCCTTCGGTGGAGCTCCCAATGGGGCCACGAAGCGTGTGAGTTGGTGTGCTGGGATGGAGGTCCCTGTGGGCCGCCAAGAGTGTGAGGTGTGTGTGTGTGTGGTACCCAACCCCGCACTGCGCCCCGCCGCCGCTGGCCCCCTGGTGCAGCAGCCGCCGCGGGCCCGCCGGTGGGGCTGGCCGCGCCACTCTCTCGTGGCGTGACCCATCCCCCTGAACGGCTCGCTCCCTTCGCCTTCTCTTTCGGGCGCGCCCTCCGCTTTCCGCATCCCTCACGCATGGTGACACAATTCGCTTCAACGGTATCCCCGTGTAGGCCACTCTGCTGGTGCAGACGACCCCTGCCTCGCCGCCGACGCCAAAACAAAACGGTGTGTGTGTGTGTGTGTATGTGCGTGTGTGCCGACATGGGCGCGGAACCGCATGCCAACCCTGACACTAGGGCTTTGGGTGGAGCTCCCGATAGGGGCCACAAAACGTGTAAGTGGTGCGCCCACATGCGCGCCGAACCGCGTGCGAACCCTGCCACTGGGATCTTCGGAGCAGCTCCCCATGGGGCCAGGAAGCGTGTGAGTGGTATGCCGAAATGTGCGGCTGGGAACCGCATGCGAACCCTGCCACTGGAACCTTCGGTGGAGTTCCCCGATGGGGCCGCGAAACGTGTGAGGGGTGTGACGAGATGTGACAGGTGATGATGATGATGATGATGATGATGATGATGATGATGATGATGATGATGATGATGATGATGATGATGATGATGATGATGATGATGATGATGATGCTGAGGATGAGGATGATGATGCTGAGCATGATACTGATAATGATGATGATGCTGAGGATGATGAGGATGCTGATGCTGATAATGATGATGATGATGGTGATGATGATGCTGATGATGCTGATGCTGATGATAGTGCTGATGCTGGTGCTACCAATGAAACGGATCATGTAGCCTGGCATGGGGCCGCGAAACGTGTAAGGTGTGAGCGGAAATGTGCGGCGGGGACGCGTAGGAGTGACGATATGTGCAGGGGGGCGCATGTGAACGCAGCCGCTGGGGCCAATCGTGGAGCTCCCTATAGGGCCATAGGAAGGCGGATGAGGTAGATTGGGCTCAGAGGCCCCTTCAAAGAATAACGAAACACCTCAAAACCATGCCGATGTCTGAAGTAAGAAAGCGCTAGAAGTAGATTGGGATCTGGGAGTCCCAAATGACCTACTTTCAACGACCCGCGTGTAAGGGGTGTGCAGCTATTTGCGGCGGGGGCGCATGTGAACGCAGCCGCTGGGGCCTTGGGTGGAATTCCCGATGTGGCCACGACGCGTGTTAGGGGTGTGCCGAAATGTGCGGGGGGGGGGGGGCGTATGTGAACGCAGCCACTGCGCCCTTCGGTGGAGCTCCCTGGGGCCACGAAACGTGTGAGGGGTGTGCCCGAATGTGCGGAGGGGACGAATGTGCGGCGGGGCCTTTGGTAGAGCTCGCAATTGGGCCACGAAAAATGCGATGCGCGTGAGGAACTATACCAGGTGATGGTGATAGTGCTGATGCTGGTGCTACAAATAATACGAATACTGTATATGATGTTCATGGTGATGATGGTGAAGATAATGTGCATGAAGATGAGGATGCTGCTGTTGCTGCTGATATTGATGATTGCAAGGGTGAGGAAGTTGACGAGGTGAGGAGCAGGTGACGCGGGGCGCTGCTGATTCAAAACGAGCACCAACGCTATACTTTGGATGATTGGGGAAAGCCTTGCGCCAAATAGAAATCCAACCAGCTGCTCTCGAACGCCATGGTCTCGTAATAACCCGCGTTCGGGTTGCACCACACGACGACCGGGCTGGAAGTCTCTCCTGCGGGGGAACATTAGGTGGGAACCAACTCAGGGGGAAATCTCGACCTGGAATAAGCGATATATCGCCCATAGATCGGCCATATGCCCCCGATTGCGATTGCGAGCGTTCTTGGGCGGGGTGGGCTATCAAGCCCACTTGCGGCGATAGATGTTGGAGGTGGATGCGTCCCCCTCTATCCCCGTCTCCCGTGGTTTTCGGTCCGTAAATCGGGCCTCGGGCGGCTGTTCGGAACGATTCGGGCACACCTGGAACGCTCTCGGCGAGGCGCAGCTGCTGTAGAGAGAATTCCGAGGCTGGAAGACCGCCGATAGCCGACGACGACGCCTGAAAACGACGACGACGCCTGAAAACCACGAGCCTCGAGCCGACTCGAGCCCGAAACGGTCCTCCATGAGCTTGTCCCCCCCCCCCCCCCTTGACGTTGCCCCTGCTCTCCGCGGAGGCCGTTCCGGGCATAGCCCTTGAGCGGCTCGTCCTCCCTGCTGCTGGCGGGGCCCGGGCTGCACGGAGCGGAGGCCGGGGGCCTCGCGTCCTCACGGCGGCGCGCGCCAGAGGAGGCGACCGGGGGCGACCGGGGGCGGCCCTGCAGAAAGTCCCCTCTCTCAGGTTCCTCCTCCTCCTCCTCCGACTTCTTCCCCCCCCTCCCCATCCCCGTTCCCCCTCCCCTCCCACTCCCCCCCCGTCCCCTTCCCCCTCCTCCTCCTCCTCCTCCTCCTCCTCCTCCTCCTCCTTCTCCTCCTTCTCCTCCTTCTCCTCCTCGTCCTCCTCGTCCTCCTCGTCCTCCTCCTCCTCCTCCTCCTCCTCCTCCTCCTTTGATTCAATAAGAGTCAGAGGAGGAGGAGGAATCAGAGGAGGAGGAGGAGGAGGAGGAGGAGGAGAAGGAGGAATCAGAAAAGGAGGAGGAGGAGGAGGAGGAGGCGGGAAGCCGCCGAAACGGCGTCATACACCACCGATTCGAAGCAGAGCGGGCCCTCTGACCACTGCTGTCGTCGAGCTCTGGCCTCCACCGCTTGGAAACTCAGGGGCTGTCTGGGCGTGAGCCAGCGTGAGCGCAAGGTAGGCGAGCATACGGGGACGACCCAGACCCCCGACGTCGCATTGTTTTCGCAACGCTGACCCCCCAAAGTCTGGACCCCTTCCCCGAAACCGGTTTGTCATGCTGGGTCGTTTTTTGACGGTCCTGGGGCCTGGTAAGGGCCCCCGGAGGCCGAACATAAAAAACTCCCGTCGCGATTCTTCACAACGCGAGGGGTCTGGGGAGAAGGACCTGAACGAACGAGCCTCGATCGCCCAGATCCTCCTCGACGAGGAGAGTGGCCTCCTCGATGAGAAGGATGGCCTCCTCGACCATGGAGCACCACTGGAGGCCATCCTCCAGGACGCGGAGGATGGCCACTGGTGCTGCTCACCCGCCTCACGCTACTCCCCGTATTTCCTCGGCGCCTGTGCTGCCCTCGCCAACCCCTCTCCACGCCTGGGCGCCAGAGCTCCAGGGAATGAAAGCCACCGCGAGCGGCATGACAGCGACGAACGACTTCAGCACGAGAGGAATCACGCATGGTGATGAACTGCCCCAAATATCTAGACTCCTCCCTCACTGAGCCCATCCCCTCCAGATTCCGTTTTCGAAGTGCCTCATGATTGCAAATCCCTTGGTGGGCGAGGTGCACGAAGAACTCTTGTTTTGAGCGGTATTTGGGCGTCCCCAAAGCGTGCTAGCGCTTCGTCTAGGTGTAAGCCGATCATCCTTAGCTTGTCTAAGAACGTGGGTAGTGAATCCCCGGGGTCTGCAATAACTATCTTCATCAGGTCATCGGCGTATTTATGTAGGGGCGCGTCTACTCTCCAATCCATCCATTCGCCCATCAATACCTTGATCTAGTATCCCGATCGAACGGCCCCAAACCCCACTCCAAGATCAGAAACTTGAAACCTCCGAGGAAAGTGGCGACAATGAAAGAATTGCCCACGCAGCCCCCCTGCGACGGACAAACAAGAAGCGGCCCGTCGGCCGCATCAAACAAGATAAGCGCCTCCGTGAAGCGCTGCTGGCACCAAAAAAACATCACCTCCCGCTGGATAAAGTTGAACTACCTCCTTCAAGGTGTCGTGCGATGAGCTGCCGAATACTTTGCTAAGATATTGAAGACATGCAGCGTGTGCGAGGCCCCCTTCTCGGAGCCGTCTGCTCATCAGCATCGAGCACAACGCCGCCTCCTCCGTCCTCCTGCCCTTCACGAGCCCGTAGTCGATCACCGTCGGGGACGCTCAGGGCTTTTTGAGAAGCTGCCTCTCCCCCGGACCGCCAAAAGGTGCACGGCTCGACGTCCTCTGGGCCCTGGCAGGGCCGATTTGCGCAAACCGCATGCCTCACTCAAGTGCCAGTGCAAGGGGGGTCTGCGCGTGCATGCGCGTCTTTGTCAAACCTACATTGAGATCGAACTGAAAGTGCTGCGCGCTCGGCGGGGCTGGGTCGCTGCCCAGACCCTGCTTCTGCAGGAGAGCAGGCCTGGGCTTTGGCAGAAATAACATGTGCCACAGCTCCAGCGGCGCCGCGTCCGCAAGCACGGCCTTCCTCTTCCCCCCACGGATGAGACTCCATAGGATCGCAGTATAGTCGGCGCCAGCCTGCTCGAAAAGCTCGGCGTCTGGCAACCGCTTGAAATGGCCGTCTCGATCAGCGCGCATGGGTTCCCATTCACATTTCTGAACTGCCACGCCTCCTTCAGGGCTAGACAACTGCCGCGCTGACATCCATTGGTCCGAAGAAAGGAAGGGGGCTGGGCGTACAAGTGCACAATCACGTTCCTTTGGTCCGGTTCTGGTCCTCGAAGCCGCTCGCGAAAGTCTCATTACTTCCGCCGCTTTGCGTTGGCACCACGTATAGTTAGCCTCTGCAGCCGACCGATCACGCCGTCGCCGATTGTAGCGTCTGCGTTCCTTTTCTAACTTCTGGCTCAGGGACTTAAGCTACGCATCGATGGAGTCCATCGCCGCGCCCGGGGCCTGAAATTTACCAGCTCGAGCTTCGAGACGCTGCCGTAGAACTCCACGACGGGTAGTGCAATACTCACTATAATCTTCACAAGGTGACGTTCTTGCCGACGCGCTGTAAAATTCAGAACCAGCCCCCACAACCGTAGCTTCCAACATCTCAAAAAGTTCGTCAGACGAGATACCTTTTTCATATAGCGAGGGTCCACTCGGGATAACTTGGCCGCTACAGACTCAATGGAATCACGCTTCAGCTGTTTTTGCATAAGTCTCTGCGCCAATAAATCTCTATCCCACTTCGTCTGCGTTGCTTGAGGTGGCGTGGGGTTATGCTTCTCATAACTTAGCGCGCACACGATCGGCAAGTGGTCCTTGGGCGACTCTCCAGGTTGCAACTGCAATTTTGATCCCAGGCGCGGCACCACTGCACAGTTGATCACCATCTCATCAACAGCCCGAGGGTAAATAAAGTAGTCTATTCGAAAGCATTTCCCGCCGCCGCCGTATGATGTGGGAGACGAGCCACTTGGTAATGGATTGCCTCCCAGCAGACGATGCTGCTCCAAAACCTTACGAAGTAACTCTCTAGATCCACGAGACATGCGTTCCACCGATCCTACCCCGGCCGCTGCACCTTTTAAATATGTGATGCCACCGCAATTCTCCTGAAGGCCCATCCCGTCGTTGAGGCCACAGAAAATACGGGATGCATCGTGCAGGGAGGTCGGCGAGAATATCTCGAAGCCAGCCACGAAGCACCCGAGTTGTGATAACATAGTTTTTCTTCTTAACAAAACCAAACTCACTCGGCGGGAAATACATGCTGCTGAAAGGTCCTGCCGTCCTCTCTTCAGTCGAGCCGCGATGGCCCGCCCTCGTGCTTCAGCTGGCGATGACCAACTGCGTACAACGTGGTCCTCTCGAAGCCCTCCCCCCACGATAATTGAACAACCACAACGCGCGTTGGCCATGGGGGGGGCCCTACGGTGCATTCAGGACGAGGCGACCAGCAATCCGTGATCTCAAAACCGAGCTTCCAGTGCAATTCTGCCTGAAGTCCGCGGCCTGCGTTCCAGCAAATAGCATCGCGTCGAAGTTCCGCAGCTCGGTGATGATCTCCTCTAGTCGGTCGCCTGTTGCGGCCTGAAGATTCCAGCCCAACGCGCGTAATCTGGACATCCCCGCTGGGCCACATCACGGCGCCATGTCGGTGGCGCTCTGGCAGGAGGCGGAATATGGGTGCCACTAACCCACAGACTTCTCTAAATGCTTGAGCCTGACGGGTCCCCCCAGGAGGCCCCAGAAGGTCCCCAAGAGGCCCGAAAGAGGCCCCAAGAGGACCCAATCCAATACGACCCCCGAGAGGCTTCCCCAGGTCCCTTGCTCAATCCCCGGAGCCTCAATCCTCAAGCCTGAGGGTTCTTAATGGACCCTGACCCCAAATGTCCAAATCTCTTGGGGCTCCCAGCGCGCCCTCGGGGGCCCAGAATGTTCCCACATGATTTGTTTCGAGCCCAAGAGAGGCCCAAGACGGGCCAACAGGGCCCCCAGAGGCCCTCAAAACGGCCCATGAAAGCCCCCAACCACCGAACGATCGGTCCAAGACGCCCAAATTGCCCCAAGACGGACCGAGAAGCTTTCGAGACGCCCCAAGAGCCCCACGAGCCTTCCCGAGAGGGCCCCGAGAGGCAAACATCTGCAAATTCCTCTGAATTGTTAAGTGTGTGTGTGTGTGTTGGGGGGGGGGAAGGGAAGTTCTTTCCTTCTCAAGCTTCCGACGTTCCCTGCTTTCACTCTTACGTCCTCCCGACCGCACCCCGGAGATTCACATCATCAACATCGACACCACGGTCATCATTATCAGCATCATTGTGGGCACACCGCTGTCATCATCACAACCATCATCACCATCACCAGCATCACATTCCTGATTCTCGTCGTCGCCATCACCATCTTCATACTCTTCACCATGGCCATTACCATGATCAACAGCATCATGATCATCATCACCACCATCATCATCAACAGCAACATCAACATCACCATCACCATCATCAACATCATCACCATTATCCAGAGCGCCCCAGATCGGCGGCACTGGCCGGAGGCCAGCACAATATGGCCATCGCCACGCAATGGCGCCTCTACTCTTTGCGGCCCGCGACCGCGGCTACGGGGTCGCCCGTGTAGCCGTTCAGCCTCGCCCTGTGCTGCATAAGCGCCCCCTGCGTGGGCCTCGAGATCAACGCCGCCATGTGCCCCGGAGGAGCGGGGCCCCATGGGATTCCTGGGTGGCCCTGAAGAAGACGAAGCACCGAGAACGCAGCGTTGCGACAAAGAACTTCCTCTCTGCCGGCAGCAGCGGGATCTAGCTCGCGTCTACGTCGATCCCCGTAAAATCGAAGGTCTCCACACGCTCTGACCTCCAAGAAGATGCTGTGAGTCCGCTTCGCTTGCAATTGAGCACAATCTGGTGTTTGACCTTGCCGAGCCTGAGCTTCCTGCTCACCTCGACACGGCTGACCACCGGAGGCTCGCCCAGAAACTCTGCTACCTCGCCCTCTGATCTGCAACCAAACGCGAAGCCCTTCTTCTCGTGGTCCCGGAAGAGCTCCGCGACCTCGTCGTCCTCGACAGTCTCGTGGTTGGCCAGGTCCGCCTCGGTTTCGACTTCCTCCGCGTCTCAGTCGATCTCGTCGTCGACAAAGCGGGAAGACGCCCCGGTGCTCTGGGAAAGCACGGATGCCTGCAAGACCACCCTCGCGGCACCACCGAGTCGGCTGGCCGTCCGGGTCGCCAGCGACGCGTTGCCAAGCCTCGAGGAGCCCCGGCCTGATACTGGTGGCGAGGTGGCCCTCGGCCCCTGGAAGTCTAAGCCACTTCACAAGGACCGGCTTTACATCCCGGATTGTTTTTTGATGGTTCGAATCCTTGTGAGGGCCAACAGAGGCCGAAAGCGGCCCAAAAAGGTGCTTCGCGGTTTTGTCGCAACGGCAGAAGGCTGGGACATCCCTGAGATCCGACGTCACGAAGAGCAATACAACACTGCACACACAAAACTCGACCGGAGCCCTGTAATTATCACATCTGTCTGCGGCATTTCTCGAGCCCGATCGACCTGTGATGGCCCTTGGGGCCCGAAACGAAGTCAAAACATCGCCCGCAGCGACGAAAAACGCAGCGCGCGGATCTCAGGGCCCGTGCACGTCGGTCGGACGAAGTGGCTGGAAACATGAAGTAGTAAATCGTTCGAAGTAACTAGATTGGGCTTCCGCCCGCCCCCTGAAGAGGAAGGGAAAGGAAAAAGCACGCGACGATTGAAGTAGAAAGGCAGCGATCGGCGTGCGATGCAAATAGCCAACTCCCACGTGCAGGCCCCTCCGCAAGTCCTTGCCGTGCGCGCACGGCACGAAGATGCCGTCCACCCGGCGCCCCGAGGCCGTGCGCAGCCGGCAGCGGCGGCCCGCGTGGCTGAGCAGCAGCTGGGCCCTCAGCTGATTCAGGGAGCCTTCGATAGAGAGCAGGAAATCCACCCTCATGCTAAGCACCCCGACAAGCGAAGCCGTTTGGTAAACGCACCGAGGGAAGGAATCGAACTGGGCAAGGCTGTTCAATAAACGCTCGCAAAGCCGTTTAGCAAACGCCAGTCGTCGGCTTCAAAGGTTCCGGGGTCTCTGACGGCATGTTTTTGTTGGTTTGTTTTTTGTTTATCTTTCCCAGGTAATGGTTGTTACCCTGGGTGGGATTCGGGCAGGGGGGTATTGGTAATGGCGACCGCGGCGTGCACCTGCCAGGGTGCGTCTGCGCCGCCGGCATTGGTTTAGGAAATCTTTGAGGGTCCCAAAGCGGTCCCTGAGATTCTGGCGTTGCATGTGCGCATGTGTTCTCAAACGTCGATTTTGCCTAGTCGCGGGCCCCGGGACCCTCGCGGATCGATCGGGCTCGAAAAATGCCGCAGAAAAAACAGGGTCCAGGGCTCCAGTCGAGTTCTTTAACAGTGTTGTTTTGTTTTTCGTGACGTCGGATTTTCGGTGTGCCTCAGACCTCCTCTCGTTGCGACAAACATATGATGAACGGTTTTGTTGCTGTTCTCGGCCTCCAAAGGCCCTCACCGGGCCCCGCGGGATGAAGAACCGGTCCCAGGGAAGGGGTCCAGACCTCTGGGGATCGACGTTTGGATCAAATCATGACGTCGGAGTTCTGGGGTCCCATGGCAGTGCGGCATCGCCGATGCATCGGCGACGGCGGAATAACGTAACAGATCAGGCTCCAATCGCGCGGTATTGCCGATGCATCGGTGATGCGGCGCGATCCTCCGCCCCCATCCGTGTCCGTGTGTGACGCCAGAAGGTCCCAAGACGCGAGAAGTCGTGACGGGAGCCCTGCCCCATCTGTCTGTGGTACTTTCCGAACAAGATCGATCCGCGAGGGCCCCCAGCATCGAAACCGGGCGAAAACGCTTGATGTGAGAAAAATGCGACGCCACGATCTTAGGCTTCTCCCGCCTTCGTCCTCACGCCCTCAGCCCTGCTCGTGAATCTGAAATTTCCATCCTCCCGCCTCTTGGGGGCTCAAAAACATTACCGTGACAGACCGCGCGGTGACCTCACAATCCCCAAATACCCCACCGCGCGGTCCATCACCGCACGGTTTTGGAACATCCAAGGCCCCAGAGTCCTCGGAGATCGGCCCAAGTCCAAAAACCGAGCGGTCACTCAATGATTTGTGCATGCCGACCCCCGAAATTTAGAGGACTGGACCCCTTCCCCAAGACCGTCTCTTCGTCCAAATTAGTTTTGTTGACGGCCCCGGGGTTCCGCAAGGGCCCCCTAGGCCGAGAATGGACAAACGCCGTCCGTCGTGCTGTGTTTCGCAGCGGACCTACACATCCTCGGGCAACCGCATGCCCCCACTAATAAAGCATCCCCCCTCTCCCACCAACATCAAGATTTTCTTTGGCCAAGCGGTCTTGGTCGGCGGTGGGGAGCGTCAGTGGGGAAAAAAATAAACATATATTGAATATGATTACCATGAGTAGCAGTATCATCATCATCAGCATCACCATTATTCCCATTACCATCAGCATCGGCATCATCATCGGTATCTCCGAGAGAACGTTTCACGGGCGCTTGCCTTGAGCATTCGGCGGCGCGTTTCGAAGCGGGGGGGGGCCCCCCCCAGCACTCGGCGCCGTTGATCAAAACCGAGGGGGCTCCCCTCCCCACCAAACCTCCCCCCTCCCGAACCCCCCCCCGCCCCTCCCAGGGGGTGGGGGGGGTTCAAAAGTCCCTCTGCCCCCCCCACTTCGGCGCCGGCGCCGGCGCTGGCGGCTGCCAGCAGCGCCGACGGCGGGGACGCAGCGACGATGACCAAAGGCAGCCTAAGAAGGGGGGGGTGTTCAACCCCCCCCTTTGGCGCCGGCGCCGGCGCTAGCGGCGGCCAGCAGTGCGCCGGCGCTAGCGGCGGCCAGCAGTGCCGGCGCTGGCGCCGGCGGGGACGCAGTGACGATTACCACCAGTACCACCGCCACCACCACTACCACCACCACCGCCGCCTCAACCCACCATGACCACCACCACCAACCCACCACGCAACCACTACCACCACCGCCTCAACCCACCACCACCACCACAACCACCGCCACCACCACATTTCACCATCGCCACAAAAACCCACCACCACTACCACCGCCACCACAATCACACACACACACACACACACACACACACCACCACCACCACCAGCACCACCGCTACAACCACCACCACTACCAGCAGCACAACCCACCACCACCACCACCACCACAAACCACCACACCACCACCACCACCGCCGCCACCACCACCACCACCAGCACCACCTCCACAAACCACCGCCGCCACCACCACCACCACAAACCACCACCATACCACCACCAAACCACCAGCACCACCACCACCACCACCACCCCACCCCCACCACCACCACCACAACCCCCACCCACCACCACCACCACCACCACCACCACCACCACCACCACCACCACTACCACCACAAACCACCACCACAAATCACCACCAAACCACCACCACCATCACACCCACCACCACCACCAACAACCACCACCACCACAACCACCACCACCACAACAAACCACCACACCTCCACCACCACCACGTCCTCGTCGACGCTCCCCGTCGCCACCGCCCGCTGCCGCAGGCGCCAGCGCCGGCCCAGAAAACGAAATCGTCGTCCCCGCAGCCGCCGCCAGCCGCCGCCGACGCAGGCGCCGGCCCGAGGATAGAGGAGAGGGAGGGAGAGGGGGGCGGTGTTCGACCCCCACCCCCTCCATCCAGGGGGGGGGTGTCTGGCGGAGGTTCCAAGCACCACCCCCCCCCCAGACGACCACAGAACGCGCTGTTTCGTATCTCTCAAAGGTCCCATTTTGGCACAATTCTCCAGGGAGGCCCCTTCATGGACCCCTCCAGGGTATCGCCATACCATAGTCTTTATCACGTTTCGCTCAGTATCCCTCAAGGAAAAATTGATTGTCCCTCTGGAGCCCCGAACTTCAATATCCCCATCCTGTGATTATCGAGGACATTCATTCGGTTGTGTGTTTTTCAATCCGCGGCCCATGAACTCCCGACCCCTTCCCTGGGGATAATTTTGTACCCCGAGTCCATTTTGGATGGAGCGGGGTCCCGGTAACGGGCCGCGGAGGCCCAAAATCAAGGAAAAACAAGCCGATTGCAACTCGGAGATCTCAGATTTCCACGCAATGGGAGGGGGTCTGGAGCATCCCGAGCCCCCCCTGGCTCAACAGCCGCCCTCGCGCTCTTGGGGGTCCCCCGAAGGAGGAGCCGACGGGCGGCTCCCGCAGCAGCCGGTCTGCGGAGTCGAAGCAGCCCCCCCCAGGCGTCTGGAGGTCCTTGGCGCGGAATCGCAGGCGACAAACATATCCGTGTCCGCGGCCTCGCGACCCGGGCTCCTGGGCCGCGACCCCGCGGATACTGGGCGCTTTGTTTGCAAATGACCCCGCGCGGAGCGTATCCATGTAACCGCGTATCCGCGGGATCGCGCCCTGGAGTCCAGACCGCGAGGGCGCGGATACGGATATGTTCGCCGCTGGTGAGGGAGGAGAACGCTGGTGCGCGGCGTGTCGCTGGGCTTCGGGACTCAGGTTCCCTGCAGTCGGCACGTGCTTCGAGAACTCCTGCTATCAGAGATCTAGGAGCACACTCGTCGTCGATCGATCTTGGAGGGTCCTGAGGTGCCCCTGAGCTCCTGTGGGTCCCTGGGGCGATCGGGGAATGAGAGACTTCCGTGGAGGGCGTGACGATTCAGAAGGAGGAGAAGGAGGAGGGGGAGGGGGAGGGGGAGGAGGATGAGGAGGGGGAGGGGGAGGAGGAAGTTGAGGGGAGGGGGAGGGGGAGAAGGATGAGGAGGGGAGGAGGAGGAGGAGGAGGAGGAGGAGGAGGAGGAGGAGGAGGAGGTTGAGCAGCGTTCTGTTTTGACGTGCCTGCTGAATCGTCACGCCCTTGTGCCTCGCGGTGCGCGACGCGCGGTCATCTTCGCGTCCTCGCGCCGCCCCCACCCCCCCTTGACAAGGGCAACCGCTCTGGCTCGGGCAGCGGTCCGCGAAGCGCGAAATTATCTTCGCGCCCCCGCGGGTGACTTGGCGTCGAACCCCAGCCGTCTTCGCGCTGGGGATCATACATCTGGGCGGTTTGGTTCGATACACCTGCAGAGCAGATCCTTGGTTATCCCTAATGTTCCTGGCCCTTCGAACTTATGTCCTCTCCCAAGTTGTTGGGTGTCTTTTATGTATAATCATTTGGCCTCAGCACAAGGCTTCCCACCCTGCTCGGGCTCTGATTCGCAGAGCGCCGCTCTGCTAAGTGGACTCAGAGCATGTGCGCGTTCACTGCCCCTCCTCTCGTTAGCAGAGCGCCGCTTTGCTGATTTGATTCAGAACACGCGCACTCGCTGCTCATGATGGGTTCACCCGAGGGCTCCAAAACGGGCCAAGGGGGCCCGAAGAAGCGCCCAAGAGGGTCCGAGAGACCTCCAAGACCGCCCAAGAGCGCTCCATGGCGCCCAAGATAGCCCCAAGACGGCCCAAGATGCCCCACTGAAGCCCTAAGAACGCTCCAAGAGGACCTCCGAGAGGGCCACAATATGCAAGCATCACGTATTCTCCTTGTGGCCTTCACTGGTGTTCGCGTTCGCGCGTTTTCGGGCTTCCAACGCTCCAAGGTGGCCCCAGAGGCCCCGAACACCGCCCCAAGACGGTCCAAGAGGCCCCCTGGAAGGCCCCAAGACTGCCCAAGAGGGCCCCAGAATGCCACAAGAGGCGCCCAGGACGGCCCAAGAGAGCCCCAAGACTGCCCCAAGAGGTGCCCAAAAGAGGGGGGACACGAACATACAAATCAAGCCTTCCGCCCCAAGAAGCCCCCAGGAGGCCCCCAACTCTTGGCCCTCAAGAGGCCCAGAAAGAGGCCCCAAGAAGACCCCGAACGGCCCTCAGGAGGCCTCTAAACTGCCTCCAAGAGACCCCCGAGATGCGTCCCACGATATCCCACCGAACATCCAAGAGGCCTCCGAACCCACAACCTAGGCACGAGGGCAAGAATGGCCGAAGGCCACTAGATCCGCCACCCCCTCGCGCTAGACTTCTTACGATTTGATCATGGTTCTTTTCCAATTGAACTCCCCCTGGGGCGTCGGCCCGTCCCGCTGGCCACCCGAAAGGCCCCCATACGAGCACAACGTCCACAAAAAAAACAAGACGGCTCAAGATGGCTTCTAAGATGGTCACGTTGGCCCAAGATGGTCTCCAACATGGCCCATGATGGTCCAAGTTGCCGCCAAGTTCGCCGAAGAAGCCACCCAAACGGCCCAAGATGGCTCCAAGATGTCTCCGAGTCTTCCGAAAAAGCTTCCAAGACGGCCCAAGACGGCCCAAGAGGCCCCCAAGACGTCCTCCAGGAGGGCCCGACGAAGCCAAACTCATGGGTTTCCTTTTGGTATGACAGCCCAAGACGCCCCCAAGATCGCCCCACAACGGCCCAAGAGGCCCCCAAGACGGCCCCAAGATGGCACCAAGACGGTCAACGATGGCCTCCAAGACGGCTAACATGGCCTACAAAATGGCCTGAATCGCCCGAAGAGGCCCCAAGCCGGCCCAAGGAGGCCCCATAGACCAATTCCGACGGCGTCAGACGGAACAGGGACGCTCTAAGACAGCCAAAGCGACCCCAAAGACGCCTCCAAAGACCCCCAAGAGGCCCAAAGAGACCCCAAGAGGCCTCCCAGAGGCATCCAGAAAGCAGTCAGGCGGCCCCGAGAGTGGCCCATCAGGCTAAAACGCGGTTTCCTCCTCCTCCTCCTCCTCCTCCTCCTCCTCCTCCTCCTCCACCACCTCTCCCCCCACGTGTTCCCCCGAGCGTTTCCATCACAGCTGGAGGAACGCATGGTCCGATAACCTGGCCAAGCGTTGCCGAAACATAGGCGCATCCTAAAAGGCAGGGGGCGGCAGTGATTCGCCGTAGGTGTCGTGGATATTTTTGTGGAAAAACATGAGCACCTTCGCCACAAGCCCACGGCCCCGCGGAGGTGCCCAACGCGACCTACCGCCTGAAGCGGAAAGCCCAAACGCGAAGAGAACGACAAGGGAAATCGTTCCTCCGAAGCTAGAGGCCTCCTGGATGAGGTCAGAGTAGATGGGGTCGAGAGATCGCGCTGCATCGCCAATGCATCTGCGATGAATCGCCGATGCATTGGCGATGGACTGGCGACGTCGGCGATGCATCGGCGCCGTCGTCGTGGAGGAAATCGTTCTCCGCATCGAGCCGCATCGGCGATGCATCGGCGATGCGACGCGATGCTCCGACCCCTTCTACTCGGACCCCATCTTGGAGGCCTGGAGAAGCTGGGTGCTAGCTGCAGCGGATCTGCCGCAAACCTGGACTCGCGGGGCAACCGTGGCGGCCGTGGATCCGGCGGCGCTGCTCGGCGCCGCTGCCCGCGCCGCGGTGCTCGCGAGAGCGCTGCTCGGCGCACTGTCTGGGCGGCGGCGCGCGTCCTCGTGCGCTCGGGCGCCGAGGTCCGGCCCACTCGGCAGCTGCCACGGCGAGGGGAGGAGGAGGCGGGCCCCGCCACTGCGGCGCTGCCGACTGGAGCCTCGATCGCAGCTGATCGCGATCTCTTGCAGTCGGGCCTGGGACAGAAGAGCATCCATCAAGAGCATGAGGCCCTCCCGCGGCCATACATCGCCGCTCCGAAAGTTCCTTGAGTGTTCTGAGTTGGGCCCGATGGCAGTGTGTGTTCGCCTACGTCGCACCCCTCTTGGCAACGGCCCCGACGGGGTTGAGGGTCAGGATGCATTGAACCCCCCTCTCCCCCTAGAAGCCTAGCAAGATAGCCCTCTTGCGTGGTCTCGGCGGGATCCTTGGCGAGCACTTCCCCCATTTAATTATATAGTCTTAGTCCAGCCAACCATAGATCCAACCCATTAAAAAATAGGGTCCGGATAAACCCCGCGGCGCGACCCAATCCAGCCAATGTATGACGTGTTCGGGTCGGCTTGAGGTCATCTTGAAATCAATTCCAGGTTATCTTAAGATTATGGTGTTGTACTCTGGGAATGCCCCGGCCACCTCGGGGTCGCTCTGGGGCCACCGCGCCTGGTCTCCAGGGCATCGCTCACATCTTGGGCCATCTTGGCTTCGGCCCCAGGCCATTTCGACGCTGCGTCTGGATCCTGCAGGGGCCACGGGGTCTTCTTGGGGTCGCCCCGAGGTCATCTTCGTGCCCGTCTGAGGCCGTCGTGGAACCATCTTGGGGCCATGGGGCCGCCCAGTCATCTTGTCTGGGTCGTCTGGAGGTCTTCCGTGTTTCCAATGGGACTTTAGTTACGCCCAAGTAACTGAAGAGCATTCGAGGCTGCCCTCCCCCAGGATACACCAGAACATCTAGCAACACCGAAGAACATTAGGGTGCCCTCCCCGAACCGACCTCGATCTTATAAGGAACCATTGGGTGAGGAACTCAAGGTCTGGAAGCCAGTGGAACTGCAGCCGTGATGGGCCATGGGTATCACCGCCGCCCTCATCAGACAAAGAACCCTCGGGGGTCTGAAGCCTCCTTCGCACATTCATGAACCAACGCCCCGGCCGTACCTCGTGATTGGCTCGGTTCACAAGTTTTTCGTCTTCGCCCTTGGTCATCCTTCCCAGCTCCAAACTGCGATCGGTGGCTCCAGGAGTACAACCGGTGGCTCCAGGAGTACAGCACAGCAGCGACGCAGCCGACTGGAGCCTCTGCGGAGGAGCTGCCTGCAGCGCTGCGGGAGGCGCGCCAGGCCCCGGGGGCAGAGGAAGAAGGCGGATGGGAAGTCACGCAGAGGCGCGCGAGGGCCAAGGCCCACCCCACGTGGCGGTGGTGAAGGCAGGGGCTGCGCACGCAGCGGCGTCGAGCGAACGCGATGCTGACCCTCCGGGGCCAGGGATGACGACAAAAGGAGAGACGGGGATGTCTTCGGCGGACGAGAGCGATGAGGCCTCCCGTCGTTTGCACGGATCGTACAACACCGGTGCAGGAATTCCCGGGCCTGCAGTGCCGGATGTCCAACAGGATCGGGCACGTCCAGCACGCCACCCGACTGCACAACAAGACGAAGGGTCATGACGAGCACTCATCTTGGAGAGCGAGGAACACGAGATCATCTGCTGCGGGGAGGAAGCCTGCGGACCCGTGCGCGGCAGGCGGAGCATCGAGAAGCGCTCGACCAGTGGGAGGTCTGGGACGCGGGCTGGCAAGAGCCCAATCCAAGGAAGAGGAGGCAACACCACGAATACCGCAAGGAAGAGGAGACGACATGGCCGATTCCGAAAACCAAACACCAAAAAATGTTGCCACCTCTTGGGGAACCAATTCTTACTTCCGCCGGCTTCCGCCGGTGGAGGTAGCCTCGCTTTACTTCCGCCGCCTTCCGCCGCCCTCCCGCCGAAGAAGAGATGGCAACTCCTTCAGCCCCCGAAGGCAAGGCCCTCTTTGGACGCCTCTAATGGAGAAACGGCTTACCGCCGCGGGATTCCTTGGCTTGAGGCGGAACTCATTCACGGGAATCCGTTTCGAGGTACAGCTAGCATGCTCTGGTGAAGGGGGGCGCTCCCTCTCCTCCTGTGCCTATCTTTTGGACGCCCGAAACGGGTACGGGAAAAATGAGTACGATACCCAAGAACAAGTATTGTCCAAAACCGACTGCGGCCGCTGTTGGGCAGGCGGTCCTGTCTCAAATGGACAACGTCCGCGGCGGCGAGGACAGCCAGTCCTGTTTCAATGAGCAGGAACTGCTGTTGGGCATCGTCCTTATTGCTTCGGTAACCATCTCGGTCGTGCCGGTATCTGTTGAAGAGAAGAACTTCGGATCCAGGACGCTGTCCGTGCAAAATCTGGTGTGGAGTTGGCCAGTGCTGCTCTCCACGAGGTGTGGCCGCCACCCTTTGGCCATTCCTGTGCGGTGTGTGCTCCCTCCACGCGGGCCCGTCGTGCAAATGTCGCGTTCTGCGCAGCGCGATGTGCTCGAACAGGGAGAGGCAACAGAGCTGACTGGTTACCGACCCAACCACCCCAACCCAACCCGAAGTCACCGTTGGGATCGTCAATTTCTGGTGGGAAGTCACTCCAGAACACTGGGGAAACACGATTGAACCCGTACAGCCACCCACCCAAAATTTTGGGGGTCTGGGATCTTCGGCTTGGGTCTGGGTAGTTTGGTAAGTAATGAAGAACGAGGGCTAGAGCAGGCTGGCCAGGGGGCCAACGCTAGGGAGACGGGTGTCCCAGGAGGAAGGTCAGGAGGTAGAGGAGGAGGGTGAAAAGCAAGGAGGGGGCAGAGGAGAGTGAGGAGGGTGACTGTGATGATGATGCTGATGATGATGATGCTGATGATGATGATGATGATGATGGTGATGTTGATGATGATGATGGTGATGATGATGATGATGGTGGTGATGATGATGATGCTGATGATGATGACGACGACGACGATGATGATGATGATGATGATGATGACGATGATGATGATGAGGGGGAAGAGGAGGAGGAGGCATGTAGAGGGTTAGGAGGGCGAGGAGGGCGAAAAGATACAAGGAGGTAGAAGATGGTGAGGAAGGCAAGGGCGAGGAGGAAGGTGGCAGAATTTGGCGGAGGCGGAGGGGAGCTAGGCCCTGGGTGGCGCGGTTGTCTAAGAAGACAGCCTGTTGTACGTCGTGAGTTTCGTTATCAGAGGCCTCGGCATGTACACTTTCCCAGATATGCACAACGTGGTCTTGGATTTTTTGTGTGCTCTTTGAGGTTCTCTCGCTCTCGGGATGCTTTCCAGCAGCTGCGCCTCGCTCGAGAGCGTTCTGGCAAGGGGTGCCCAAATCGTCCCGAGCGGCCGCTGGAGACCCGAGACCTCCTCGCGTGAGGAATCAATCGAGCTGGGGGGTTCGGCCGTTTTCTGACTACCTACCAGACCACCCCAACCCATCCTGAAAACACAAATTTCGAGTTTTTTTGGGGGGGATACGGCACTGCAGGGGCGCGTGTGCACGAATCCCGTTCTAATGCACGTGTTTCACGTAGCCAATTTTCTTGCCGATGCGCCGTCCAGGTGCGGCTCTGTGTGTGTATGTGTGTGTATGTATGTGTGTGTGTGTGTGTGTGTGTGTGTGTGTGTGTGTGTGTGTGTGTGTGTGTGTGTGTGTGTGTGTGTGTGTGTGTGTGTGTGTGTGTGTGTGTGTGTGTGTGTGTGTGTGTGTGTGTGTGTGTGTGTGTGTGGGGGGAACGGGGGGTACGGGTTCCACATGTGTTTTCTCAATGTTCCCCGACCCCCCCCCGCTGGAAATGGAGGGCACTCTGAAGCCTTCGGGTTGGCTTTGATGGGCCTGTTTTCCACCACCACCACCAACATCAGTTGGAGGGGGAGGGGGTCCTCCTCCTCCTCTTCGTCCTCCTCCTCCTCCTCTTCGTCCTCCTCCTCCTCCTCCTCCTCCTCGTCCTGCTTCCCCCCTCCAACTTACGGTGGTGGCAGCGGTGGAGAACAGGCCCATCATGGGTTGGGGTGGTTTGGCGGGTGGTGCTTTTCGGTGCTCGCGGGCCCCCGACGGGTCCCGGGGGCGGTCAGGAACCGGCTCTGGAGGAGAAGCTGGGCCCTGGGCCGTGCGGATCTCTCGGACATCGGCGCCAGTGCCCCCCCTCCCTGGCGCGCTCCGCGCGCCAGGGGCGCGCCAGGGGCGTCGCCAGAGGATGCCTGGCGCCGGTCTACGAGCTCTGCGCGGACATCAGAGACGGTGCGCCCTGCTGTGCCAATTCTTCGTCTTCAATCCTCGAAGATGGACGTGAGCTGCTCCAGCCTCGGCTGCACGCAAGAGAGGCCCCAGGCAAGAGTGGCCTTTGGTAAGTGGCTTGCCGATGGGCGCATGCGATGCGACAGCAGCGGCCCGCATAATTGTCCGGGGGGGAACAGTGACGTGGAATCGACGATGCATCGCCGATAGATCGGGCCCCCATGGGAAAACCGCGCGTTCCTGGGCGGGATGGGCCCTTCCCCCGTCGTTGCTCCTGCGAAAGCAGCGCGCCAGAGGGCACCCTGGCGAATGCCCCCCCCCCCCCCCGGCGGAACGCTCTCGGCGAGGCGCAATTGCTGAAACGTATCCTGACGCAGGAAAACCTCCAGCAACCCACGAAAGCGTCTCTGTGGCTTGGCCCCCTCGCGCCCGACGAAAGCCGCGCACCAGAGGCCACTACGGCGAGGGTAGGTAACCACATGTGAATCCTACCCCTGCAGGTCATATTTCATACTTCCAAGGATGTCCGCGGCCAAGCGACCCCCAGCGGGGGTGCCCGACGCCGCTGCCCCAACATCGGCTGGACCCGCAGGGATAGGGTTCGCACGTGGCTGCAGAGAAAGGTCACTCTGAGAATCAAGCAACACCGATACCGCTACTCCTTGAACCTATCCGGGGGTGATTTCCGTTTGAGGCAGATCCAGCCGCGGCGACGAGGAGGCCCAAAAAGGCGAAAACGAGTCATAGCATTGGGGCAACGGGTCCTGAGGGAAACGGGTCCTGGACCCTGGGGTCTTTCCCCAGGACCAATTCTTCATCCTGAATCGATTTCCGACAGTCCAGGGACCCATGGAGGGCCCTGGAAAGCTAAAAACGGCGAAAAACCTCAGGAACCGTTTCCCTCAGAAACCGTTTCCCCCGTGGCGAGTGAAGGGTCGCGGTATCGGTGCCTTCCTCCCCTGGCACTCTTGCGTGTGGCTGGCAACCTCTCGCCGCAGCCCTGGGCGCTGGCGAGCGTCTCCTCGGCCAGCCGCACCTCGGCCATGGCGGCGAGCACCTGGAGCAACAGAAGACGGCATGAATGGTAAGCAATGAAAAAGCCTGCTTGCTAGCAGTTCCAAACTTGTTGACGCCATTGTTGCCATTCAGTGCGACTTTGAGTTCGAGCCTTTGTTTTATATTTTTAATTTTTGGAGACTCTGTTAGAGACTCTGTCTTATGTTTTTGGCGACTCGGTTTTCGTTTGGAGACTCTGTTCGAGACTCTGGTTTGGACTCTTGACTACACTTTTTGGCGAATCATCGTTTTGGGACCTTTGCAAGGACCTCAGCATCACAATTCTAACCCTTTGGGAGCCGACCTAAGTTAAGAGGCCCAACGCATTAGGCATAGGGGGTTTTTCCTGCAGATATATCAAACCAAACCACCCAGAGCTACGATCCCGAATGTAAGCGGGGGGACCTAAGTTAGGTCACGTCTTCAATGTGTCATTCGGGTTGATTCGTGGCTCTCTCAATGAATGAGCATTAGCTTTCGGTGGTCCGCGCGGATTGCTTCAATCCGCGCTGGAGGCACCGCCAGAGGGTCACAACGCAAATCCAATCAATCCGCGCGGACCTCCGAAATTTCCCCAAACCGCTTCTCTCCAAGGGTCCTATGCTGCCGGACCTAGGACAGACGCACATCCATCAAAAACATGAAACCCTCCGCCAGCCAATCTGAAGAACACTCGAGGGTACCCTCCCCAAGATGCACAACAACACCCAACACGCACGCACACACACAACACACACACACACACGCGAAGAACTTTAGGGCACTCTCCCCGAACTCGATTGTATGCCTCGGTCCGGCCCTAAAAGCGCTTCGAAGAAAACACAGATGCGGGGATCGCTGGATCCGAAGTCGGTCGGGCGCCTTGGTCTCCCGCGGTCCCCCGTGGTGTCCCGCTGTCTCCCCCTCTCTGCTGGCCCATGTTGACTCAAAGCTGTCCATCGGCGGCGAGCGAGGGGGGGAAGTGAGGAGGAGGAGGCCCACTCAGAAGGCGGCGGAACTTCTCAGAAACCCTCTGGCCTTCTTAGAGGCTTTCCGTATCTTCGCGGAAGGCTTAGGAAACCTCTCAGAAGGCCAGGGAACTTCCGAGCCTTCTGGGAAGGCCCGCCCCCTCTCATTTCCCCTCCCCCCCTGGGCTGTCCGCCGAGTCTACGGTCTTCTGTCGCAAGGGTGTCATTCCGGGTCCCCAGAACTGTGTGGTGACGGACCGCGTGGTGACCTCGGGATCCCCAGCGATCTCGCGGCTTTGAGACCCTCCGAGTCACCGTCGGAGAATGACCCGAGTCCCAAAACCATCCCCAAAGACTCACCACGCGGTGTGGTCACCACATGGTCTCTGGGTGCGTTCTGACCAGAATCGAGGGCCTCCCAGGAGGCCCGAAAAGGCGAAAACGAGGCACGGGTAGTGGCATCGGTACCCTTCTCTCCTCTGAGTTCGCCCCCCCCCCTCCTCCCCCCCTCCCCCCCCCGAATGGCTTGCGTGGATGCCGCTTCTTAGATGCTCATTCTGGGGACCTTCCTGGAGCCACTCGCTCCACTCGTGCGTCGAAGCTGCGTCGAACCTGAGTCGAACCTGAGTCGAACATGAGTCGAACCTGAGTCGAATCTGAGTCGAATCTGAGTCGAACCTGAGTCGAACTTGAGTCGAACCTGAGTCGAACCTGATCCATTAGGTGGCCCCCAGGAAGGTCCCCAAAACGAGCATCGAACGCTTCTCTTCCTCGGGCACCGGGAGCGGGCCGCGGGCCCTGCGCAGCCAGTCGGTCAGCGGCGCGGTGGGGCCCGCGGCGCCCAGGCGGACCGCGGCGGCGTCGAGCCACGCGTCGACCGCCAGGACCAGCAACTTCACCCGCGCCTGCCCGGGCCGGGACTCGGGTCGGGCAGAAGGGGGGGATAGCAAAGGGGGGGTTTGAGAATCAGCTCACGTAGCTGAGTTTCCCGGCGCCTCCCGGCGCCGGAGGCGGCCATGTATCGAGGAATGGGCCCCTCGGTGGGGCCGAAACCAGCTGCATGCAGCAAAGTTCGTAACCCCTCCTTTCCCCTTTCGTCCGGCCCGAGGGACGTGCCCGGGCGGGGCAGAGCCGTCGCGCCACGAGGAGCACACGGTGAGGAGCGGCGGGGCTCTCCTCCGGCCACGGCTGGCCCGGGCCACAGGCAGGCTCCGGGACGGGAGCCCGAGGAGCGGCCCGGGAGCCCGAGCGGTCAGCTCAGGCGTCGTGGCTGTAGCAAGAGGCCAGGTGCTGCCAAACCCAAATGTCCGAAGACCGGATGCTTTCAATCCGGGCGTTTCTCTCGAGTTCGGCTGCCTGGGCCCGGCAACAGATAAACCATTCTGGCTACGTTGCTGTCGCACCGGAACAATCCACGGCAGTACGGGCAGCAGACATGGATTGACAACGTAATGTCTCGCGTGGAAGCTGGTGAACTTAGCCACGCAGCTGTAGATCCGTTTACCACTGCAGGACCTCTGGCAGCAAATCTGTGAGACTCAACCGCGTGGTTGAGCTAATGTCATTCTTTGGCGGAAGGGCTCCAGTGTAATTCTAAATCGACATGCAGAATGTGCAATCAAGCCAAGATCAGCCGCGTCCGTTTTCCTCCTTCCCCTGCGCCACCACCCCCTCCCCTGACCCTTGAGCTCAGGGGATCGACATCTGGCGCGGCCTGCCAGGTCAGGGCTGCGATCGTTGCCCAGGTCGGGACCGCCGTGGCTGCAGACCACGCGCAGAAAAAAATATCCCAGTGCGACCCTACCTAGGAGTTGGAGCCCCTAGGAAAGCAGCATTAGTAGTAACAGTAAAGCTGAGCTAAAGCTAAGCTAAAGCTAAGCTAAAGCTAAGCTAAATCTAAGCTAAAGCTAAACGACAGCTAAGCTAAAGCTGAGCTAAAGCTAAGCTAAAGCCAAGCTAAATCTAAGCTACAGCTAAGCTAACTCTAAGCTAAAGTTAAGGTACAGCTAAGCTAAAGCTAAGCTAAAGCTACGGTAAAGCTAAGGCAAAGCTAAGGTACAGCTAAGCTAACTATAAGCTAAAGCTAAGCTAAAGCTCAGCTAAAGATCAGCTAAAGCTACACCGGGAATTTTAATTAAGAAAACTTTAACCTAAGAAAACAGACTCTGGAAACCCCGTTTTCTTAACCCGCGGTCTGGGTCTGGATCTACAGAAACCCCGGGCTATAGAGATCAATACATGATAGCATAAAACATCATTTAATAAAATAATATATTAGAATACCCAAGCGCCACAAACAGCGAATATGACAACCGAAAATCCGCAAACAACCAATTCGAACACAAAAACGCCGCAAACAACAAATTTGAACACCAAAACGTTGCAAACAACATATTTCAGCACAGAAGCGCTGTAAACAGCATGAACACCGAAACGGAGCAAACGGCAAATTTGACATCAGGAACGCCGCAAACAGCAAATGTGAGCACCGAAACGCTGCAAACGGCAAATTTGAGCACGGAAACGCCGCAGATGGCGGCAAATTTGACAACCGAAATGCAGCAAGCAGCAAATAAGAGCAGCAAATAAGAGCAGCGAAATGAAGCAACCCATTCCGGTTCCGACGGCGATGCACAATGTCAATCAATTGAAATGCACATGATGCCAATCAATTCAAATGCTCAGATGCCCCCCTCCTCCTCCGCCTCCTCCTCCTCCTCCGCCTCCTGCTCAGATGCTCTCCTCCTCCGCCTCCTCCTCCTTCTTCTTGTTTTGTTTCGGCGTCTATCTTACATACTTAAGAAAATCTCAATAGTCTACCCTGGAACTCAGATTTTCTTAAATAGGGTTAAGAAAATCCAGACCCTGGCTCCGAAGTTGCTTTTTCTTAATTATCCTGTAGGGTGTAAACTAAAGCTAAGCTAAAGCTAAGCTAAAGCTAAGCTAAAGCTAAGCTAAAGCTAAAGCTAAAGCTAAAGCTCCCAGGAGGACCCTGGGGGAACCGCGGGGCGGAACCGCGGGGCGGATACTGGGGGAACCGCGGGGCGGATACTGGGGGAACCGCCCAGGGCGGGTTGCACTGCCCGGCCCTTTAAGCACAGAGGGTAAGAACCCTTCTAGGCAGAGCCTAGGTAGGGAATAAGCTAAGCTAAGATGAGTTAAGCAACGCTAAGCTAAGGGGACGCAACTGGGGGAACCGCGGGGCGGATCCTGGGGGAACCGCCCGGGGCGGGTAGCACTCCCCGGCCCCTTTAAGACAGAGGGTAAGAACCCTTCTAGGTAGAGCCTAGGTAGGGAAAAAGGCAGCAAACTTCTCTCGAGTCCTCCTGTCGCGGCGAGGCATGCCAAGCGTGGAGAGCAAACGGACACAGAAACAATACGTAAGGAGAAGGAGGAGGACCACAAGGAGAAGGGACGTGCTCAGCCCCTAGATGGTCGCGCTGGCTCCCGTGGCGACGTTCCCGTAGTTCACCCCACCGACCTGCTGCTGGGGGTCTGCCACCACCGTGCCCACGACCGGGGCAGCGGGGGCGCCCACCGGCCGGCCGACCACAACCGCGGGGATCCCAGGGGGCGCCATCTGGATGGGCTGCAACTGGAGGAAGCATTTAGTCTGGGTATTGGTGATCTCGTCCACCTGCTTGCCCTCCTGTATGGCAGTGCAGCAGCCACACCACCAGTAGAGGACGAAGTCCATAACGCAGTGAGTGTCTGGCGCTGGGTCCCCGAGCGCCTGGCGGAGCTTCGCACGCTGCCCAGCGAGCCAGTAGGCCTTCACAGCGCCCACGACTTGGAACCCCAACCGACCCGTGTCCCCAAAGTTCGTACCCAAGGACGCTCCGAGATATGCCACCACGAGTTGCACGATCTGCCCGATTACCTGCACAATCACAAACGCGTGGATGTACACAGCGTAGCTGGGTCCGATGCTGGTCATCGTGTAGGTGTCGGCGAACCGGCAAGGGGCACAGTAAAAACCGTACAAGCAGTAGTCACAATCGTCCAAGCATTTGCAAGTCTCGTACTTCCAGATGCCCCCCGTGGGCTGGAGGCCCGCACCGGGAGGACAGCCCTGCCATGGCACCCGCCGATCGGTTATCGAGCTCTTGTATCTGGAGGCGAAGACGTACGTCAGCACGACCATGACGATCAAACTGGAACCCCACCACCCAATCATTGAGCTGATTGCCGCCGTGTCCTCTGTCAGGCGGCGTGGAATCGCGTCGACCGTGCTGTCGTGAGGCACCCAGGTCGCCTGCTCGGGTGTTTTAGCCAAGGCTACCTCCATCTGTGCCTGGCCTGAGTCTGGCAGCACTCTCCTGAGAATCTCCACTACCATGGCTTCGGGGTGCTCCCCAACTGACCAGTGGAGCGCGTGAAAAAACAACATTGCAGGATGCCCCAACATAGATAGGATCCGCCGACCCCACGAGGCGTGTGGGGACGACCCCGTGCCTCTCGCCGGCACTCCCCCCATCACGCCTGACACCGTCGGCTTCCTGGAGCCTCTGGGACCTCTGGGCAGAATTCCCCAAAAACCTCGCTGGGACCCCCACCACCACGCCCCCACCACGCCTGACACCGCCAGCTTCCTGGAGCTTCTGGGCAGAGTTATTAAGAGAGCCACCCACGCTGCAAAAACCTCGCCGGGCCCCCCTCCCCCACGCCCCCCACCACGCCTGACACCGCCAGCTTGCTGGAGCTTCTGGGCTGAGTTCTTAAGAGAGCCACCCACGTTGCAAAAACCTCGCCAGGACGCCCCACGCCCCCACCATGCCTTACACCGCCAGCTTCGTGGAACTTCTGGGCAGAGCTCCTAAGAACGACCAACGCAAAGCTGCAAAAACCACTCGACAAAAACTTCGCCGGGACCCACCCACCATCCCTGACACCGCCAGCCTCCTTTGAGCCTGCGGGCATAATTTTTGGGGCCTCCACCGCAGCACCCACTCAATAAAAACCTCACCGGAAACTCCCCCACCACCCCTCACACCGCCAGCCTCCTTTGAGCCTCTGGACAAAAATTTGTCCGACACACGCAAATCTCGCCGGGACACCCCCACCACCCCTGACACCGCCAGCCTCCTTTGTTCTTCCGGGCATACGATTTTGGACCCCCCCACTCGACAACAATCTCGCCAGAACCCCCCCCACCACCCCTGACACCGCCAGCCTCCTTTGAACCTCCGGGCATGGGCTTTTTGGACCTCCCCACTCGACGAACATGTTTCCCGGACCCCCCAAATCACCCCTGACACCCTGACACCGCCAGCCTCCTGTGGAGCCTCTGGGTAGAACTTTTTTGGGCTCCCCGAGTCGAGAATTATCTCGCCAGGATCCCCTACAACCACGCCTGACACCGCCAGCCTCCTTTGAGCCTCTGGGCATCGGTTTTTTGACCATTCAACTCGACAGAAATCTCGCCAGGACATCCCCACCACCCCTAACACCGCCAGCCTTCGTTGAGCTTCCAGACATATATAAATATTTTGGACCGCCCCCGCTCGAGAAACATCTCGTCGGGACGCCCCCACCACCCCTGACACCGCCAGCCTCCTTTGAACCTCCGAGCATTGGACCCCCCACTCCACAAAAATCTCGCCGGGACCCCCCCACCACCCCTGACACCGCCAGCCTCCTTTGAGCCTCCGAGCAAACGTCTTCTGGATCCCCCCACTCGACAAACATCTCGCTGGGACACCCCCACCACCCCTGACACCGCGAGCCTTCTTATCTTTTGGACCTCCCCCGCTCGACAAACATCTCGCCGGGACCCGCCCACCACCCCTGACACCGCCAGCCTTCTTTGAGCCTCTGGGCATAGGTCTTTTGGACCCCCCACTTGACTGTAGTGCAGCTAGGGGGTTCCGGTTGGTGCCTCAAATTGCGTTGCTGATTTTGTTGGTTGCTTGTGCAGACA